TTTCTCTGAAAGTTAAATGCCACCTTATTGCAGTCATATATACGGGAAACTTCCTAGCACATCTTGACTGATTCATACATAGATCAACAGAAGACTTATTTTTCTCTCTCTGATTTTAAGCTGCCAACTGCTAGGAATCCTGGGCAGCATCAATGGAAAGAATCAACTGTCCTGCCACTGATCTGTTACTAACACAGCAGTAGCTCAGAAACTGACCTGAGTACTTTAGGTCCCAAGAAATCCTATTCAGATTCCAGTATTTATTTCCCTTTGAGAGAAATGAAAAGGAGCACAAGAAACATGCCTGGGTGATGATTTTATGCTTCCTCAAACAACCGTTGTCTAACGCTCTTCAGTCTTCACACCTGGATTGCAAAACAGCTGTCTTGAGGAATCCGTAATCTTCAAACTGCCTGGCTCCATGGAGATAGCTCTCCAGGGTCACTTCTTGGTCAACAAAGTGCAAAGTACTGAATGTGCTTTTCACAGGAATAGATCTGCAAGGGCCAGAAAAAAGTATGGAAAATAACAGGTCAGTACAGTGTAACTTCTTGTTAATTTTTTTTTGTAAAGCTGGGATAAATTGCTTGTAGCAAAACGCATGAGTCCTTATTGTTTTGCAGCGCCATCAAGTCATTTCCAATTTACAACCCTCTCAATTAGCAACTTCAAAAGGTCATGATGTTAACAGTCGTGCTTAGCTCTTGTAAATTCAAGACTTCCTTCCTTTATTGAGTCAATCCAACTCTTAGTTCATCTTCCTCTCTTCTTGTTGCCTTGAACATTTCTGAGTGGGGTGTTTTCAGTAAAGTGGTCCATGGACTCTTAATTTACTTTAATCTTTGCATGGCTATGGTGGAACTAGGCAAGCTGAAGATGGGAAACTTGGCACTGAAGCTGTGGGGCAGAGAAGGAACCTATAACCAAGCAAAGTAAGGGAAGAGGATGAGACGCAGCAAGTCCTGAGATAAACTTGCCTACTTGTGTGAGTGGTTTTATTTCATTTGTAACTCTTCAGCCAGAAAATGGCTGGAATGGAACCTGGGATCAAATAAAACTATGACTACATTAAACAATGTGGGACTGTTGGTTTGGTCTTAATGACAAACCAGTTACTGTAATGCAAACCAAGATTTTCAAGCACATTTCAAACCATGGTATTACACTCCTCCTCCTCTTCTTTTTCTTCTTCTTCTTGGCCACAAGAAAAATTGGCTGAGATGTTAGTTAGATGTACGAATAAACCCCATACTAAGGTTTTGTGTTGCATAAGAACACTCTGCTGTGAAATATTGTGACTACTGTGCAGTGTTGCCAAGAATTAAAGAGATAGAACTAAAAGTTCTAATGGTATGTATTTGCGTCAAAAGATAACAGCTAATAAAAAAGAGGCCTGCCCCAGCTTTTAGCAAATTGAATAAATGGTTTCATGGTGCCTACATTTTTATCTTTAAAAGGAGAATTTTCATCAATCCTAAATTATGGTAATCACAGCTTGCATTCTTTAAATATGTTGGGTGTACCAAGGTCCCAGTGCAAATCTGCCAATTTGCAAATGGGAGACACTTTACCTCCATTCTGCCATGAGTTTGATTTAATGCATGCTGGAATGGTTCCATACCTTCAGAATGAGTATCAGCTTTCAGATGTCAAGCATACTATTCCTTATCTTTTCCTATAGTTACGGTATCTTCAATGCCGACTCTGCTGTTACAGAAGTATTATAATAATCATAATCCTGGTTTCAAGGGAGAAACACCTTCAGACTACAGTACTTGTATTAATTCTGCACCTTAACCATGCCATGCCATTTGTGATTAGGCTTGATTTGTGCTTGTGCCCTTTATACACTTGCTCATGCCTCAAATGTTTATCCCCAGATGTGTCCAGTTTCAGAGCTACTGGCCAAGATATCATGCACCTAGGTGGTGTGGATGTACTCTGTCAAATACTCATAAAGCTACAAATGAGTTGTGTGATATCAAGCCCATGTATATTACACAAATTAACATGAATCTAAAATACATTCTAGGTATTACTTTATGCACTGAAATAGCAATGATTAAAAAAAAACAAACAGAAACATACCAGTCATATAAGTTGAAACGTTTGTTTTCTAAGTCACCAGCTGTACAAATACACTCTTTTTACAGCTATCAAGACTTAGAAGTCCCATCGTATTTAAATCTCAACAGGCCTACACAAAAGGCAGCAGGGTGTTCGGTTGTTAAATGCAGTATCTGTCTCTGCAAGGAGCAAATATCTACTTATGGAAGAAGAGCACTTACGAAAAACTGACACTATATATTTTTCATGACTGGTGCCTGATTGCCCCCTGATGGTTAAATGCATGTACTGATTCTCCTAGAAATGCATCAGTTGCTCTTAGCAGTCCGAGACATGTGGTTGAAATATGTATTTCACAATATTATGATATTTAAGTTCACTCTTCACTTCACAGAAAATGATTAAATGGATTCAACACCAATGAGAAGGCAAAATGCATACAAAATGCCTTTATGCAATACAAATTATCATCCATGATGCTATAATTTAGGCAAAGCATTTCAGACATACAAATATTATCACAGTTAAATATAAAACTAAAAACTAAATTCTGCTTGGAGCAGTGCCAGTATTTCTAATATTAGTACCTAAACAAATACAAAATTGTGGTATAACAGTCACATTACTATTTGCTGGCCAAAATCAAACTGGTGATCTATGTGTGTCTAAATGAAATGGTGTATGTCATGCTGGCAAATGGCCACTAATAACAAGGTGCTGCTTGTGTTCCTGGGGATGTTACTATTATGCATATGCAAACTGTAAAACTCGGATTAGGCATCCTTCAGTCTCGGGAGACTATGGTAACGTGCTCTGTATGGAGGACTTGGAACAGTGTCTAGTGTGGTTGATAAGGCTAATTTGAGAGTGACAATCCCTTCCACACTGAAGACAAATAGTCTGTCCCCTGTCCAGCTCCCTAATTTTGCTGCTTTCAGGACTGCCTCTTTGCCTTGGCCTGCTGGACAAGTTTCTCTTCAAAATGGGAGAGCCCATGATGCACTGCCTGCCTCCAGGTTGAACGCTCAGATGTCAAGGTTTCTGTTGAGGTCCATTCCTATGGCCTTCAGATCCCGTTTGCAGATATCCTTGTATCGCAGCTGTGGTCTCCCTCTGGGGCAATTTCCCTGCACCAATTCTCCATACAGGAGATCTTTTGGAATCCGACCATCAGCCATTCTTACAACATGCCCAAGCCAACGTAGACGTCGCTGTTTCAGTAATGTATACATGCTAAAAACTCCAACTCACTCTAGGACTACTGTTTGGAACTTTGTCCTGCCAGGTGATACCAAAAATGTGTCGGAGACAACACAGATGGAACGTGTTCAGCTTCCTCTCCTGCCATGCACAAAGAGTCCAGGACTCACTGCAGTACAGGGGTGTGCTCAGGACACAGGCGCTATAGACCTGGATCTTGGTATATGCTGTCAGCTTCTTATTGAGCCATACTGTACTATCTTTGTGAGTCTAGAGAAAGTGTTAGCTACTTTGCCAATCCAGCTCGACACGTAGGGAGAGGGTGTCAGAGATCGTTGAGCCAAGGTACACAAAGTCATGAACAACCTCCAATTCTTGTGTAGAGATGGTAATAGAGGGAGATGAGTCCATGCCCTGGCCCATGACTTGTGTTTTCTTCAGGTAAAGGTAAAGCTTCCCCTTGACAATTGTCCAGTCAAGTCTGACTCTAGGGGGCGGTGCTCATCCCCGTTTCCAAGCCATAGAGCTAGCATTTGTCCATACACAGTTTCTGTGGTCACGTGGCCAGCATGACTAGACACAGAACACTGTTACTTTCCCACCGTAGTAGTACCTATTTATCTACTCACATTTTTACATGCTAGGTTGGCAGGTTGATTGTTAATCCAAAATCTTGGCATGCCTTGCTAAAACTATTGATAAGTTGTTGGAGGTTCTCAGCAGAATGGGCAACAACAGCTGCATTATCGGCGGAGAGGAAGTCCCGCATGTATTTCAGCTAGACTTTGGTCTTCGCTCTCAATCTAGAGAGATTAAAGAGCTTTTCATCTGATCTAGTCTGGTTCTGTTGCGGTTCCAAAAGCGTGCTTCAGCAGGACAGAAAAAAAAGTTACAGTTTGTTGTAGGGAGAAAAGGAACAAGGAGAGTTTCAAGGAGGGTTTCTGTGGCATAGCAGATGACAACCCCAGGTGTGTTGTTGCAGTTAACACAGAAAGAGGTATAGAAGAGTGGTGGGAAGCCAGGCCTTAAAGGATGAACCCTTTTCAGTGAATGGTGGACACAGATTGTAGGTCATAACCAGAAGACCCATAAGACAGTGGCTCAGGAAGGAGAAAGAAATTTTGCCATAAGGGATTTGGAATCTGGAGGAGATCTTAGGACCAGCACAACACAAATTCTATTCCCTTACTCATGGGTAAGAAAAATGAAGTGTATTTATCATTCTGCTTCATTCCACAACAAGCAGCAACTGCAATTGAGAATTTCCCCATATAGCCTGTTTGCACAATTGCTGCATGTGGCTTGCAGCTTTGCACACACACATATAGGTTCCCGAATGAAGCAGCAGTATCTAAGCCTCAGGATCCATTAACCTTTTGGCTGGCCATGCAAAGGTAATCATGGAAGGGGTGCCAAAGGCACTTCTCAACAGAATAGTTTTAATCCTAGCCCTGAACGTAACCTAAAAAGCAGCACTCCGAAACTAGCAACAGACTACCAGAAATAATAAATAAGTAGAAACTGAAAAAGTCATTTAACATCTGATGGGTCTTGCCAGCAGTTAGCCATTTGGAGTTGCAGAGGTGCATGCTAATTTTAGATAATAATCCCACGGTGTTATCATCTTGTGTATTACAACAAAAAAGTACATTGCTAAAGATAGTTTATGCCTCCTTGCATGAATCTTAACACACCAGAATTGTGAAATGATGCAGCAGATCGTAGTCTGTACATAAAATTATGTATTTTATAGGCTGAAGGTAAAGGAGTCAAAAAAGCAATCAATAACAATATTTGGATCCGGAATTTCAAATATGCATTTGTCTCCTCTTGTTTAACAATATATCTTTTCTGTATTCATTTTCTGTAGTACAGAGTTTACATCTCTTACTCAGTGCCCATAAAATACAACTGATAATAATTAATGAAACTCTGAGGTAATTCTCTGAATCAATGTTTGAAAAACAGTTTGACAAAGCAGCCACTATTTTTCTTTAAACAGTATTAATATATTAGTATCTCAACGGCATAAATATTTAAACCTTTGCAGCACAGATTGTAACAATGACATAAAAACAGTAAGTCTTGCAGCTGAGAAACTAAAATTTTTAAAAAAGCAAATCCCACCTGAACAAGCTAAAACATTGAATTAAAAAGCAAATACCTTTGCTTTATAAGCTATTGCCTTATAGTACAGAAGTACATGAAACTGAAGAAATATTTAGAGCAATTAACAATGAATAAGTCTGGTTAACAGTATCTACATAATAGCTAAATTTGTACTCGTGTTTTTGTAGCTGTTGTACTCATTGGTTTCTCAGTTCTGTGAAGTGTCTGCTTCACACCTGGCTTCAAAATATGACTGTGAACCTGAAATAAAAAACAGATTATTTAGAAAATTACTAATTAATCATATTTTGGCCAGAAACAGAAAAGTTTTATTACATAAATAAAAGAGAAAACAAATGAAGTAAAATAGAAAGGAAAAAACAACAACACCCAATGTTAGATGGGATAAAAAAACCTATTTTTAACAGCCCACCTAAAATTAAACAAGGAGTCACATTAACTTCCTGAAGAGAGATTTCCACAGTTCAGGTACTGCAACAAATGACCTTGTCCTGTGTTTCCACCAATTCAAAATCTCTTGATGCTGAACAGATATGAAACTATAGGCAAGCACATATGGAAGGCAACAATCCTTCAGACATCCTGGTCACTCAATTGTTAGGTTTTTATATGCATCAGTACTTGGAACTCTGCCTGGAAACAAACTGGAGACCTGGGTGGTTAAAGACTACAGTACTATGGTCAGCAGAATGTTCACCAGAAAGCATTTGGGCTGCTGTGTTTAACATTAGCTGTTGTCTCCCAACAATCTTTATTCTCAGCTCCATATAAAATATTTTATTATTTATTTGATTTGTACCCCGCCTATCTGGACCAATGGACCACTCTAGACGGCTAGAGTAGTATTGTAGTAGCATTCTGTTCAGCACCACAAAAAGATTCAGTAATACCAACAGGGACACTTTGTTTTTAGTAGCCAGTATAGACCAGTATAGACCAGTATAGACCTAGAAAACAGGGGCTGTTTCTGTCCCCAGAGTGAATCTGAATCCAAACAGAAGTTTCCAAATAATCAGCTTCAGCAGAAAAGAGCTGGAATTGATTTGCTGAAGGACCTTTCTTGAAAAAGCCATATTGGAGATTGACCAATAATTATTTAGGGTGGCAGAGGCACAGGTGGTCTCAGCTCACACTGATTAACCACTCTGACTTTACTTGGACAGCAATAGCTTTGCAATACTTACTCATACTTTGGTACCCTCCCATTCGGTTTGTTTTTTCCTGGAGGATATTATCTCCAATCTAGGGAATATTAAGGCCTACCTTATTTAACAGACTCTCTCTAGTATTTGATGTAATGTTTCTGGGAGCCCAAAAAAGTTGTTACAAGAATGCCTTGCTATGTGCATTTAAATCTGGATCCAATCATAAGCCTACACTGCAAGTTGAGCTAGGTGAAAACATGGCATCAACTCAGATTAAAAGCACTCTAGAACTTGCAATCTACCTACACATTCTCTCTCTAAAAGGGCAGGTACTTTCCTCTCTACTACACAAGATAAGCCATATAAAATGATGCTGTGAAAAGTTCTTATTGCTTATTGAGAAGTAAGTCCCAGTGAAATCAGTAAGTACACCCTTTTTGAATTCTATAGTTTTACATATCAGGATATACTGAAAATCATCTGGTCCTTAGCATGTCTGAAAATTAGGTAAATACAACCTCAGATGGCATATTACACCATGTAATGATTTATTTCACAAAAGTAAAGCCAAAATGGAGAATCCATGTGTGAAAAACTAAGCACACTTTATGATTCAATAGCTTGTAGAACCAACTTTAGCAGCAATAACTCAAAGTAATCATTTTCAGTATTACTTCATCAGTCTCTCACATCATTGTGGAGGAATTTTGGCCATTATAATGTTGCTTCAGTTCACTGATGTTCATAGCCATTTGTTTATGCACAGGTCTTGTACGGTCCCTCCACAGCTAATTTTCAGCCCACTGGCGGGGCTCTGTATCTCACACGACTCCGCCCACCCCCACAGTGTTCCAACTGGAACCAGAACCAAAGGGGTTGAACATTATCGCTGTGCGGAGGAAGAGTGCTGCGTGGACCTTGGCCACAACATTTCAATTGGGTTGAGGTCTGGACTTTGAATGGGCCATTGCAACATCTTGATTCTTTTCTTTTTCAGCCATTCTGTTGTAGATTTGCTGGTGTGCTTGTGATCATCATCCTGTTGTATGACCGAATTTTGGGCAAGTTTTAGCTGTTGGACATGTGTCCTCACATTTGACTCTAGAATACTTTGATACAGAGTTCATTGTTGACTCAATGACCCACCCAAATCATCATCCCTCCTCCATCTTGCTTGACAGTTGCTACGAGGTGTTTGTGCTGACATACTGTTTTTTTTGTTTTGTTTTTTGCCAATCATAGTGCTGTGCATTATGGGCAAACATCTCAACTTTGGTCTTGTCTGTCCAAAGGACATTTTTCCAGAAGTCTTGTGGTTTGTCCAGATGCAACATTGCAAACTTAAGTTGTGTTAACATAAGACCACGAGAAGAGCCCTGCTCGATCAGGCCAAGGGCTCATCTAGTCCAGGTTCCAGTATCACTCAGTAGCCACTACCAGATGCCTCTGGGAGCATACGAGGTAACGAGACACCTGTCTCCTGATACCACTCCCCTGCATCTGGCATTCTGAGTTATTTTCCTTTTAAGCCTGGAGATTATACATCCCTATCATGGCTTGTAACCTGCAACGGACTTTTCCTTCAGAAATCTGTCCACACACCCCCCTTATTATCAACTAAGATTAAGGTGGGAAATACAAAGGGTAAAAAGGAGTAGGGGAAAGGGGGGAAAGGAAAAGGGTTGGGGGGGTAGGAGAACACAAAGTATACAATCATTCAATCTATTCATGTTACAATAAACAAATCAACTTTCCGCTTTTTTAACTATCTGATTACCCTCCAGCTTTCAATTTACAGTTACATCTTAGTTTAAATCTATGTTACTCCAACACTATCTGGAGACTGAAGCCATTTTTATAATAAATCACATTGTTCAGTTTCCTTTTGAATTGGACAGTCTTTCGACACGTCTTTCTCCATCTTATTAATTTTTAAATTATCTACAAATTTCCTTTTATTTAGATATTGTTTTATATATTTGTTTCCTTTGTGTGTTGTAAGCGCCTAGAGTGGTCAATATGACCAGATAGGCGGGGTATAAATGGAATAAATAAATAAAGAATATCCATTTCTGCCACTTCCCATATCTTCTCAATAAGTTCCTCTTATTTCGGTATCTCTGCTTTCTTTCAATTTTTAGCATAAAGCTTTCCGACTGTGGTAGCCATATAGATCACTGGGTAACTCTTTATCTCATCTATATTGCCTGGTATCGTACTCAATAAAAGCTATTCTGAGGTTAGTGGAGTTTCATTTAACAGTTCTTTGACATCTAATGTCATCTCTTTCATCTGATCTACTATTTGTCTAAGATGTTCATTTACTTGCTGAAATCCTGTTCTATTTTGCATGGTAGTCTGCCATTCTTTGTCTGATTCTTGTGCTACTAATTTTCCCAAACTTTGAGACTGGGCAAGAAAGGTCTCCAGCATTTGGTGCTTTAGGTTTTTGGAAGCCATTTTGATCTTTTCAATGAGTGGGGTTTGCGTAAATAATACTATATCCTTCACCAAAGTGACCAATCCTCGAATATACCATCTACTCTTTCAGTAGTTTCCACTATTTTATCAGCAAACCAAACCCACAATCAAAAACCTCCCCTAGGATCTTCCTCCAATCTTTACACAGATGTTATAGTATGTAAATAAACTTTTAGCAGTTTAAAATACAACCGTGGTAAAAATATTCCTTCTTCTCCAGAAACCTAATAAAGTTCTATTATCAGAGTCCCACACAATCCAGCGAAAAAGTCCAAGCTAAACAGCAATCACAGGGGTTCAGTCTCTCCTGTAGGGGTCCTTATAATCCGTCGTACTGTATGTCCAAGCTAAACAGCAATCACAGGATTTCAGTCTCTGTTTCTCAATCTGGTTTCCTTGCTTCTAAAAGCTTTTAAGTCCCCATCCACTGTTATCCACTCTGGGATTTTTTCCAAAAACAAATTATTTTTCCATCTCGCTTTCTCACTTTTGGCCTTGAAACAGCCTGCTGTTTTAGAGTCAGTTTTGTTTTGAGGAAGAAGACTGGTAAGCAAGCTCGCCCCTCCTTGCCTTCTTTCGGCCAAATATTTTCACTCTGATTTCTTTTCCGCTTAATAGCGCTATTCATAAATCAAAGGCTTCAACTGACTTTGTTGTTGCGTATTTTCAATGCCGTGTTTGTTTGTTCTCTCTCCTCCAGGGTGGGTAGGTTACTCACAGCTGAGTGTCCAAACTGGCTCCTGCCCGATCTGTGCTCAGGGTGATCTCTTCAGAGGGAAGAAACACCAGGTTGCTGTCCAACTTCCCTCACCTCCACTGCTCACCATGCTTCAGGGAGACTTCTCCTAGTCTCCCCTTTGATCCCTCATTTCTGAAGGACCCCACAGACCAGGCGGTTCCAGCTTTACCCGGGAGCTCTCCCCAGGAACTGCCGGCTGCACCGCGACAAGCCCCACCTTCTCAATCCCCTCTTAAAGGCATCTAGGCCAGATGCCATCACCACATCCTGTGGCCAGGAGTTCCACAGAATAACAACATGCTGGGTAAGGAAATATTGCTTTTCTATTATCATTACTGATGTGTTTCCTCCCTGGCACTGTGTTAACGCACAGACCAGCAAACTGCAAAAACTTCAGCTTTTATACAGGAGGTCATACTTGATGGTGATCAATTATTCAAAGGCATTTGGTTAGTGTTACATACAGCTACCTGTCCATCACTGCTAAAGCTGTGAGTCATCTACCAATGGTGTGACGGAGGGTGGGACATAAGGGGTGGAGCTGTTGTATAAATGGGAGTGAATGCGTGTGAGAGATTTTAGATAGGGACTGATAGGGCTTTGATAGGGTTTAGAGAGGAGTTAGGAGATCTGTGATATATTGTGAGAATCTGTGTATGATAGTGCCTTTATTATAGTGATTGAATTATTATTTAATTATAAGTGATTTACCATTCCTTTTATTTGTACCCAATAAACCTGAGTTTTTATTTTGAATCATATTTTGGCATGAAGCTACTTATTTTAGGGAAGGGTTGGTGGCAGTGGAAAAGAAGAGTGATTTATAGTGACGTAGTGACCCCCCTTTGTGAGGTAGAGGGAGGCCGTTACAGTTAGCAGCACCTGACTGCTCCTTATCTTAATTCCTATAGAAGCAGTAAGGATGTGCTTAGTTTTTCACACATGGCATCTCCATTTTGGCTATATGTTTTGTAAAATAAATCATGACACATTGTAATTTGTCATGTGTTGTTGTTAATCTGAGATTGTATTTACCTAATTTTCAGAGCTGCTAAGGACCAGATGTTTTTTATTATGTCATATGTAAAACCACAGAATTCAAAGAGTGTGTATTTTTTTCACATGACTGTACTTTCAAGTAGATAGCAGAGACACTAAATAGGGATAGAGAAATAATTTTTTTTAAAAAAAAGTTCAAAGCTCTTGAATTCAAAGGATTTAGTAATCGGGAAAGAACTGAAACTTTTAAAACAATGGCATAAATGTATTAATTGCTCTTGCTTTTTTCAGAATGGAAAGATCTAAAACTAATAGAAATAATGGTTATATTCACAAAAGCAACAATCCATGACATTCAAGCCAATTCAAAGCAGTTCCAGAAATCAAAGACCCTTTCACTTTCTTCCCTTATCTGCATGGCAGTTATTCTGATTTTGCGGCTGTTGCAGAATATTTCAAATGATAGAAAGCATTTGTTAAAATACAGATACATACCATTGGAGTATCTGGACTGGAAAATGGAGATGCATCATAGGATCTGTTTTCTTTATCAAAGGAATCATCACTGAGGTGGGATGCAAATTTCTCCTTCAGAGCCTCTGCTATTAAAGTTGCTGGATCCCACTGTGATTGCATTACTTTCTTTGTTTTGGGTAGCGGTGTACCTCCAGGTGATCTGGAGAAAGACAAATTTGTCTAAACTCCATGCAAAACGATTGCTGTTCCAGGTTAGTAAATACATCTAACATTAGTTGCAATAATCTTTAATCCTAATATGGTCCTTTCTAGAAAAATTCTTAGTTTTTCGTGAAGTGTAGCAACATTTTATATATTCTGCAGTTGCTTACAAGGCATGAGTGCAATCACACCTCTTCTGTAGTAGGTGGTTGCAACTGTAGCTATCACTGTACTTTACTTTTACTTCACTTTTATTAGATTTTTACTGCACCCCCTTAGACAAAGTCTACTCGGGGTGGCTTACATACATGATAAAAACATCACAATAACAGATGATATAAACATTTAAAACATCAAATTTTAACACTTCTGTAAATCATTGTCAAGATAATGCAAAGCAGCCAGGGTGGGGGAGATATGCTGGTATTTCCTCACCCCACTAAGAAGGCTGGCTGCCGCATTCTGTAGCCTTCAGTGCTACAAGTAAGTCCTCTGTCCGGTAAGAATCTCTTATCAATCTAAGCCATTGATATCTTAAAAGCTGATCAGCTTACTATATGGGTCACCATCCCATTTTATCATTGTGGAAGGAGTTTTAAAACTCATGAATTTTGCCTACTAAACCATTATGTGGAAAGGCTCTAGAAGATTAATAACATTACTGAGAAGGCCAATTTTTATGAGCTTACATGTGGCATTCCACTGGTTGTGCTACTGCATACATTAAATAACAAGAAAAGCATGCCTTATATACAGAAAATGGAGCCTTGTACAATATATGAAACACACATAAATAGATTAATGTTTTCAGATACTGAAGACTGGTATAACTAATGAAATAAGACATGGAAGACAAGAATTTGCCATGAAGTCCATCTCACTCTCAATTTCAGTGCAGTTTTGAATTAATTTTAGTTGATCTACTCCCTTTGTCTACGGGGGGGAAAATGGAATTTCATATGCTACTGCCAACTTTTTCAATCAATAACTTTGTACAACATATTATGAAGACCTGTGCTGCCTGGATCAGTTTAAATGTTACATTCCATAGCATCCTTTTCTCCCAGTGGATTCTATCATTCTAAATGGTCAGAAGCACTAACACAGATTTGCAGGAAAAGCTTTTGGAGTGACAAATCCCCATACAATTTATTAACTCAAGAGCCCAGATACATGCAAGTAGGAAGGTAGTTCACACACTACCTATATGTGCATATAAAGCCACCTGCATAGTCACCTTATGTTATAGCCATTATTTTTGAATTTAAAATCTGTTCAATTTACCTCTCAATGGCTCTTAGTTTAACTTTATTTATATCTTTCAGAACATCCATCATACATGGGACAGCCTTAGCTTCCTGCCGTCTACTACTATTTGTAATATTTCTCCTCTTATTAGGAACCTGATGCTCTTTAAGCTCAGTTTTTGAATTACATGAATCAAAATTAGACAGCAGCACAGCTGGAGGAGGAGGAGGTGGTGGTGGTGCAAGCACACTACGAGGAGAAACAGGAACTGGTGTAGAAGTCACTGTTGCCCACTGGAGAACACTAGACGGCGTATTTGTTGAACTGACAATATTTGAACCTATTGAACAATTGGAAAGTTTGTTAGCAGAGCACAGAAATGAACTGTTGATATGAAATGTGAATCCCAGATAGGTCACATTGCTTAATTTTATAACAATCTACACAGTCTAGCACAGGAAAGCATTAATACCCAGAAAAAGAATGAGGACTGGGTCAAGACATAGTGTCTTACCATCACAAAAATAATTATTAAGTACCCTGTTCACTACAACACATTGGTCGTGATAAAGTCATACTTGGATCAGAGAAATTCGAGTTCATTGCTTAACTTCAAGGATTACTGGATAACTCTGGGCTAGTTAGCCTAGGTTTCTCCAGTGCTGCTATGAAGATAAAACAAGATTACATTATAAATGTGAAATAAACTAAACAGAAAAATAATAGATTATAAATAAGCCAATATACAAAGTTATACCCCAATCACTGAGATCACTTTCAGCCCTTCTATATGTTTCTACCACATTGTCATTCTTACTTGGCTAGGAAAACTTGCTTTGCATTTTAAAGTTGTTTCTTAAAGGATGAATCCCAAATAAGACACTTAAATTTTCATCTATTTACACTTGCACAGAACAATTATGAGATGCAGAGAGCCCTAACTATAACCTAGTATATGATTACTATAAATACGTGCATCAGACAACTTCTGTGTTAATTCATAATCTGCTTTTGAACTCTTCTTCAACTCCAAAAGACATTTGCCAAGATAGTGCATAGCACCGATGTCCAAGATATGCATCCAAATCTCCTTTGGAACATGCAGAAATACTTGTGAGGCACTTTGGTTTCAAGGCAAGTTTCCCAATCCATCTCCTACCCATGATGTTAATCAGACTTTTACACTTATGAGGTATAGGATCTAATCTTCTCTTGCCTTTGTTGGTAGAGTTAATGCAAACTGAGTTATCATGTAACTCCAGGCAAGTGCTTTTACACATCCTCTATACAGAGGATGAAGAAACAAGATAGCTTTTTATATAAATGCTGCTGTCAAAAGGCAGTGTGACAGAATATTACTTGAAGCACAAGAAACCAAACATATATGTTTATCAGAATTTAGACCAGCTTACATGATAAATTATCTTCTGCCCTACGTACTGCCACAATTGAAGCAATCTGTCTACGAAGATGAACTAGCTCATTCTCAAGAGCAGAAAGTTTTTTGAATGCATCTTCATCTACAACAGGTGTTACAGGGAGGTTTTCTGTTGAGGCTGCTGGCACAGGAACTGCTGGAGTTACAATATTTCTCCATTCAACAAATCTAGAAAACATCAATGTACATCTCTATAAATGATCAGGTGCCAAAACATAACATATCTGCTTTATGACCAACTTACTTTCAGGTAAACTGATATGGGATTACAGTTTATGGTTTTAGGCAACATACCCTCTTAATTTTCATCCCTGCTGAGCAGGGCTCCATCTCTCTTGCATGACTCCACCCCTGTGTGCACACGCAACTCCCTCCCCCATGCTAGGTTCCGTCACAATAGGAACCTAATGCGATCGCTGTGCGGAAGAGGAAGACAGCTACGCGGAGGGAAGCAGAGTCGTGTGCATGTGCCCAGCTTAGCAGGAACCTTGGTTTTAGTCCATTATTTCTAACATTAGTTTATCTGACAGGTTAAAGGGTGTGTATGTTTCTCCATTGTATGTGTTGCACTTACTCACACCACTGCTTCACAATTTCATTACATCCAAAAGAGCCCTTTGAAATATTTTGGCAGAGGGATTACAGCCACATCCCAGTAGTTGCTTGTCCTCTCTCAGCTACTTCAGTAGGTTCTCGACTTACGAACGGCTCGACATACGAACGTTTCGACTTACGAACTGCTCTCATAGGAATATATGGACTCGACTTACGAATTTAGATTCGAGTTACGAACTCTTTTTTTCCTTTTTTTTAAAGCTAAGTCATCTTAGGTTAAAAGGAAAAAAGAAAAAATATCCCTCTCTAGTGGCACAAGGCAGAATAGCAGCTTCCCATTAGTTTCTATGGACGAAAAGAGGAGATACGGATTAAATGGTTTTCAATGCATTCCTATGGGCAATGCAAATTCGACTTAAGAACTTTTCGACCTGAGAACTGCCTTCCAATACGGATTAAGTTCGTAAGTCGAGACCCCACTGTATATTACATATAATGTGATCAACGTTCCCTGTAAGTTTCTGTCCCACTACGCGGGAGCCTCGTTCCATGTGTGCAGGGGTGGGTGGGGCTTCATTCAAAACAGAAAATAAACAAACTGGCTGCCCATGTGCAAACCCAACGGAACTTTGGCTGAGTGCACACAGCTTAGAGGGAACATTGGATGTGATCATCTTCTCGGACCCTCTAGCATTGGGTTACTCTACATGAAGGAAGCTGCTGTTGAAAATTATGTGTAGCGTATGTAAATTTAAACTTCTATTTTTAAAAAAACCAGGAAATTCAATGTTTTAAAAAAACGTGGTTTAAGAATGCGGGATATTGTGCTTACGCGTTAATGATTCAAAACAACCGGAAAAGGTCTGATATTGCTACACAACATCATTGTCATGCTACCAGCAGGAAAAAGAATGCCAAGCTTTACATAGCAAAGGGTAGCCTGAAAGCTGATTACAGTCAAGATAGTCTACAGCAAGGGTCCCCAACCTTTTCAACACCGCGACTGGTTGGGGAAGGCAGAGCATATTTATTATTTATTTATTGGATTTCTATCCTGCCCATCTAGACTAAAGGTCTACTCTGGGCGCATGTGCAAAGGAGCATTCACACGGGCACACTTGTGCACATGTGCAAAGGGTGCTCATGGGGCACTTGCGCACATGCATGATGGGGTGGGAGGAGCTTGCATGGGCATGTGCTCACTTGCGCACATGTGCAAAGGGGCTGTGCGGGGGGAGTGCGCTCAGGGGCGGTGGGAGATCTGTCTCCATGGTCCGGCCCAGGCCACAGACCGGCACCTGGGCCGCGCACCAAGGGTTGGGGAACCCTGGTCTACAGGATACCTTCATGTACTCACTACTGTGCACAAAGAAACACCAAGCAGGAGAAAATCCCAGAGCCTGACTTGTTTTTCCATCAGTTAACCACTTCCCACCCAAAAGTAAAGCAAAGGTCAGGGCTGGTTTTCAGCAAGTTCTCTATGTACCTATTGATACCCACTAGAGTAGGATTTTTTTTGTTTTACAAATTACAGATTCTTAAAGTCTTAGGACTCAGATCTACTTGCCTGAATTTAGCATATGCCTCTCTGTCATCATTTGGCACCCACAAGACATCAGCAAGAGATGGTGTAACAGCACTAAGAGTGCTAGCTTGTCCAGACTCTAAATAATTCAGACTTTGAACCAGCTAAAGAAGAAAAAGGTTAGAAATGTTATCTTTCTAACAACAACAAAAAGACAGAGGACAAATATCAACAGGTATCCACCCGCTATTATTCTGTTTAGTGAATTGCACATCCCACACCTGCCAATTGTTTGACAAGCTGAAGAACTCTAATTATCTAAGAGTAAGTGCAATCAAGATACCACAAGGGTGCCAATGCAATTTGTTCTTCACAGCTGCTACCTCTTCATGGCAAACTGTAGTAGGCAGAGACCAAGAGTCTGAATCAAGCCACAAGGACAAGGAAAATATGGAGTGTCATCTGTACTGCATGGCTGAATCACTACACAAAAATTGTCTTCATAAGGAGACACACAGAACAAGCCTCTGTAAGAGGGAACAATGGAAGGAGGTTCCACATCATAAAAGTTCTTAGCCTCCAGGTAGATGCCATGGTTCCAACTATCTTTGCACATCTGATCTCTAAAAATCCTCCTAAAATGAAGTAAACCAAAACTGCCCACACCACCACTGTACCACCTAGAACTTTATGAGCATTCCCAATATCAATACTCAGTTGGAAGATAGCATGATTCTCCCAGTTCAGTTTTTGGAGCACAGCTGCACTATCTTTTTGCTGAACTGTAATGGCCAAAATCCCATTGCTTAATGTAGTAAATCAGAGTAGAGTAGAAGATCAATGGGGGTCTACTGACTCAACTCCTATGCAAGTTCCATTTATTCAAATGAGCCTACCCTAATTAAGACTTACTATGCTAGAGTAAGTTCATGTGAATCAATTGAACTTATGAAGGAACTGAATCATCAAATCCCCATTGATTCAATGGGCCTGCTGTAGTGTGTTTCATTACACTAAGCAACAAAATTTGGGCCAATTACTGTGAGTACACAAACAGAATACTTACATCCTATCTACCACCTATGTGAAATGACGTAATCAGAATGGTATCAGAAGTATAACACTGAAGTGGTGATTTCATCATAACTGAAATTGGCTTTTGACTTGTACAACAATAGATCCGGAAAGGTCTTGGCAACAAACTGTAGCTCAGTAGTGAGGGGCTGGTTATTTTCCTAGCTGTGCCTTGTTACTGACCAACAATTTGTCACTGAGACTTGTGCAAGTTTCCTCACGCAAACATAAATAGGGTTTTACCAATAGGATATTTTGGAATCTAGAGACTCAAATATTTTTCTGCATTCAGAATGTAAATGTATTCTGATTTTTTCCAATTTCCATTATTTTATTTAATCAACTGTTTAATTAACTAAACAACTAATTAACTGTTTAATGATGACTATTCCACTATTTTTATATCTTTGTTTCACATTAGTTTCCAAAAACATTCCCAAATCATAAACTACATTGTTCTAGTACAGTACCACTATGGATGTCTGTTCATAACAATATCCCTGAATAAATATTAGAGTTAATATTACATTAACCTAAAATTTAGCCATAACCTATATACCTGGAGATGAGGCCTTGGACAAGGTGTTAATGAAAGACACTTCCCCAGTCTACGAACAAAACTTCGGGTAGATCCATATTTTTTTCTTTCCCAAGCCCATGATACCTAAAAGTCAAAATCTCTCTTTTTAAAAAAAGGCAAACTTGATAAAGATGTAAGTTAATGGAAAGATCTATAATAAAGCACTCATTGACTTCTAACCAATTGGTAACTTTCTGAGCTACAAAGTGGTTTCTAATATCATCACAAAACATTATTGTTATAAAGAATGACCATTAGAAAGTTCCCCTCCAAGAAAGTCCACTACCTTCGGTGGAAGAGACTGCAATCCAAAACAGCTTCTACAACAGAAAGATGGATGCAGAGATGGCTTTTACTGACCCCATCATCACCGTGCAGTTCCCCCTTGTCACCTTCTATACTCTCCCAAAAAGATTTTCAGGGGGCACAGAAGGGGAAAGAGTCAGAGAAAAACAACACTTCCCTCTGTTCCTCTGGAAATATTCTGCAAAGAGAATCCTGCTCAGAGAAACTCTGGACCTAGCCAATATATTCTTCATTCTCTATTAACAGAAACGTATCACAAATAGAATGACTTAACAAGTGTGTGTGCAAATTCAACTTTTAGCCCCAAATTAAGGTTTATCCTGAGAAAACTGGTCCCCAATTATTTATCATCAACTAAAGTACAGTGGTGCCTCGCATAGCGAGGTTAATCCGTTCCGGATTAACCTTCGCTATAGCGAAACATCGCTGAACGGGACAAGGAAAGCCATTGGAACGCATTAACCATCGTTTAATGCGTTCCAAAAGGCTCCTTTACTCACCATTCAGCGAAGTTTCCTATGGCCGGCAGCCATTTTCGCGCCCTCGTTAAGCGAGGGGAGGGCGTGAAAACGCTGCGCGCGGCCATTTTGGGGCTTCCGGTGGCCATTTTGTCCGCCGAACAGCTGATCGTCGGGGCTTCGTTTTGCGAAGATCGGTAAGTTTCGCCCTATCTAAAAGTCGTTGAGCGATCGCATTAGCGATCCCAAAAAAGGGATCGCTATGCGATTTCGTCGTTGTACGGTGCGCTCGTTAAGCGAGGCACCACTGTATTTTATGAACCTACTGAAAGAGCTAAATTATTAATTTCAAGATACTATTAAAAAGAAAATTACCACCACTGAAGTGACAAAATTGTCCAAAACACTTCAGAATATGGACATATTGTACAGATATTTTTATATGGATTTTTTTAAGGAAAAACCCTAAAGCTGAAGCCTGCAGAAGGCTAACTAAATCATCAGTGGGGTGGGGGTTGGAAATCACACATTTCCTCTCAAAAACTGTATTAACACAGTAATTTTCAGAGACCTAAAGAGCTAGGTACATTCCATTCCTCAAAGAATAATCCTGAATAAAATCAAAAACCTTTTGATTTTATTTGGAAACAAGTCAGACCTCCCCATCATTACATTACTACTTATTTCTTAGCCATCTTTTGGGGTAAGCCCTTAAAGTGCAGATTATACTTAAAATGCTAAAAACCACATAACAAATGAACAAATAAACAATAAACAATATCAGTTAAACTCCCATCATGTACTAGCAATAACACAGTCATTTGGGCAGCTGACTTGTGGCAGGTAATGTTTTCAGGCCGCCATTAATGAGAAAGAGGATTGCAAACGAGTCCGAATGCAACCAGCATGCATTTAGTGGAAACTGAAACCAGTTCTTCAAAAAAGGGTCACAGCGAGCATAACTGGCCAAGGTGGTAGAAAAGACTCTTAGGCACTGACATCATTACACTTCCACACACAACTCCATGTCCTGACCTACCTTTTTATTGCCCATTATTACAACATTGTTCAATTCTTTTTTCTACTTTCTTTTAGCCAAAGGATTGTGGGAAAGCAACGAACTCATCAATAATTATTTATCAAAGCTATTAAAATAAACTGCTTTATCTTCATACTGGGAATGAAAAAAAATAGCAAGGAGACAACTGATCCAAGAAACAAAGAAATACAAAGAAGGGAAGGGACAGTGACAAATCTGTCTTAGCCAAAAGCTGAAACAGAAGAAAAGGAGCACAATCACTTAAAAAATTCAAATAGTAAGTTTTTTAAAAAATGCTGATAATCTTACTAAACATCTCCTTGAGATGGCACATAACTCCTGAAAGTGCATTCTTGAGAAAGAGTTTGAAGAAAGATGGGATCCAATCATATAAGCAATACGATTAAGACAAACTTCACACCTTTGTAGGAGCTGCAAAGAGAAATCACAGTCATAGAAATAAAATATCCTATATTTAGACTTCTGTACAGAAATCCTAATAGTATTAACTGTTTTAAAAATAGCAACATGAAACAGATTTGCATACATAAAGACATGGGCTTATATTAGCCAAAATCCTCTTGCTTAGTTACACTGGCATAACACAAAGGCATAGATTATGGAGGCAAATTGCCTTAAGAAATTGTTATATATATTATTTATTGCATACTGAATTCTGTACTTCAGTGTGCAACTGATAATGTCTACAATAATTTCTTAATTTGGGGCCAGTTGTTCCCAAAAATTATGATATTTGCTATGGTAGAGATTTTTGATTGGTGTATTACCACAAACCGTCTAGCCCACCATTTCAAAGAGACTCTCTCTAAACTTACAAAATGCTTAGATAGTTAAATACAAAACAGTAGCTAAAATGCTCAATGTTATAGAAATAATGTTACATGATGATAAGCAATTAAAAATACAGTGTTGAAAAAGATCTGAACCATAAACAGGAAAATGAACACAATAAAATGTGGGCAGAGACATACAATTCTATGACAATTCAATAATCACAGCACTCCATATAGACTCTGCTTCAGGTGTCAGACTTCAAACATTTAGTTCTTTTTGCTCCAGAGAGCTATTTTTTGTTCATATAATTACATATATGTGAGGAAGACAAAAGTGGCTCAAGTGGCTCTGTTGGCAAGTCATCTCACCTCCACCCAGGACCTACAGTATTTTGGACTGCGTTTCCTGGTAGACTTGGTAGATACCCAGTTAGAACTTGGACAAAAGACAGCAGCCCTAGAGAGGAAGACCCAAGCAGAAAGTCTGGAAGAAGGAGAGTGATTCCTAGAAGAGAGGGTGAAGGCCGGCCCCAGGGAGTTAAGCGATATAAGGGAGGCATAGGAGGAAGACAAATTATGTCAGGAAAAGAGAATGAGGAGCAGGAAGTTAGGACAGGGCCCCTTGTAACCTGAGAACCTGGGAGAAGGGGCTTGGTGATGCACCTTCGGGTAACCAGATGAGGGCTTCCAGGCACAAAGGCCCTGCTCTTGAGGAACTGGAGGGAGTGTGACTACCTCTACAAGGAAGAGCCTTGGACTGGCATCAGCGGCAGCTCTCAGTCAAACAGAGTAAGGGAAGGGATTCCCACCACTGCCCTCAGAGTCGACATATTGGCCATCCTTCTTGCAGGCCTCGTGATTCAGGATGACATGGAGTGTGCCAATCGAAAAGAGTGGACTGACAGTTCTTCCCTCCCAGTAGTGTTAACTGGAGGATTAAAGAAACTGGACCCTGACTCGGGGGAGTGAAGGAAACTAACACTGAAGACCAGAACCACAGTTTGTTACTGACCCAGGTTTTAATAAAACCCATTTGTACAAAACCATGTTCAGTAATTGAGGAAGGAGCTTCTGCAGACCTGGCCAGAGCCAGCAGTGCTCGTAGTGCACTTTACATCTGTTTTCAGAAACTTGTCTGAGGCACATTTGTCAGTAAGCCAGCAATACTGGTTGCGCATACTGAATAAATGGCAGGAAGCTCAGTTACAAGTGTTTAAAATGAAAATAAAATAACAAAAACACACACTGCATCCATAACTTGCCTCTACTACACACAAGAGACAATTCAGTTTCTAAATTATTTATAGTGCAGTTGGAGGGGGATACCTGCTTCTAATGAAATGCCTACATGCATTACAAGACTTTTGAAGAGCTGAGAGGGAAGCTCACATTTCATTATCAGATGCACTATGCCTCAAATAATATTAATTTGCTATGTAGCACAACAGTACTCTTGGGCTGAAAGCCTACTGAGTAATTTGCAAATCCTGATGTTATGAATGGGGTAGCTCTCACTGTGCCAAGGCAAAGTGCTATTCATAAAGCATTTCCGTAGGTACATTGAACAATTGGTCAAAACAGGAGCCATGTGACCAACTGTGTAATCAAACTACACAACCCTTGTTACCTGGACAGTATACCCAACACTTTTATACAAAAGTAACATTATATTGTGCTTAGACAGAGACTCTGGCCTTGGTGTCACATGATCAAAGACCGTGGGGGGGGGGAGAAATCCCAGTACAGCCCCTCCTCCTGATGTCCCGCCTTCCACTCCCCATAGGATGGAACTTTCCCTCCAAACCCATGACAGACAGGTAACATCAGTGCTGTTATGTAACAGGTGTCACATGATCAAAGACCGTGTGGGGGGGGAGAAATCCCCTAGGCAATCAAGTGAGCAAATGCAACTCTTTTACCCCCTCCCCCCCCCATCCAAAGGACCAAGCTGGAGAGGAAAGATGAACCACATCCAGCTCTCCCTGGGGACTATGAAACAACCACCACAGCACCCCTACAGAGTGAGCCTGTGGACATCTGTAGAACTTCTATGGTTCTTATCCCATTTTGGGATAAGAAACTTCTCTGCAATTTTGCCTGGCGTGATAGTAATATCTGCTTACCAGTTCTGGCGCCACACCATAATATTCCAGCAGCTGTCTTAAAAGATTCAGTAGCAGAGACATTTACAGAATGATGTATCAGTCCAGACACCACTTCAATAAATACTTGTTGCTTCTACAAGGTAAAGGTTCATTTCACAGTTAGGATGAAGATATAAAATTCAGTTGTTCACACATCCTTTTCCATTTAGTAAGTGAAGCGTAAAGTCACCACACTATGTTAGAAACACAATTAGGAGACTACAGTGTAGAGAGTTATAATACAGCTAAAGCATCCCTGATGGATGGCACCCATCTGCCATTAAAAATTCCAAGATAACTGATTATAGGATTCTAGTCTAAGACCAGCATTATCACAATTGCTGTATGTTTGTCACTGTCTCATATGGCAGCAGAGGTAATCAAATAATTCTGCACTCAACTCTTTCAGTGTAGAATTTTCACTACAAAATATTGTGTTCACTTAAAAATGAAGCAATCGTTGCACTATGAAATTTCTTTACAGTACAGTATTTGCATCAGTGTCACATTTGGGCCTTATTTTCAATAATTGAAAAAGGTGAGAAAATTTATAGTTTACTTACTTTCAACCAATAAAAAAGTTGATTAAAAAGGTTTAGTGATTTATGGGTAAGACATTGCAAATATATTAAAGAGATGGCACAACCGAGTCTGTATTTATGCCCTCCTCAATTTATGCTTAATTGGCATGTTCCAGCCATCTGGAAGAAATATAAAGTAGAAGCTTGATGAACTTCAGCAAGATTATTTAAAAAGAAAATGAGACCTCCTGATGCAAGACAATAGGCACCCAACACACTCAGAAGCCTTGGGCTTTGATTGGATATGTAGTACTGGGAACCATCTCTGCCCCACCCCATCACCACTGTTTTCTACTTTCTTTCATTTTTTAACATTTACTGCTGGCCCTTACTTGCAAATCATGTTTTTCTTGTTCTGGGGGCCTGTGTATGCTCTAGATTGCATGGGCATCAAGTGTACAACCCTCTGATTTTGGCAAGAAAGTGACTGGGCACACCTGGGCAAGCCATGCTTAATCTAAGGGCATACTTCACACCCCAACATGTCCTCCTTGAGCACAGTTCCCTGGGAGAAGTTAGAAAAAGAAAGTTGGTAGGAAGTTTGCTTACAAATGAAAGCATTATGGGTAAAAACAAGTTTAAAAAATAAAAATAAAATAGCAAAAAAAGATGTTTAAAGACTAAGTGTTATTATTTTTTTAATGTGAGCTTTCCTGGATAATTTCAATTCGTTGGATATAAGAGAGAGATTTACATGGCAAATATTTATACATGGTATCAAAATTTAGATATCTACTGTGTGTGTGTGTATGTGTGTGTGTGTGTGTGTGTAT